ATTCTGGCTGGGCAGAAAGAGAAATGAAATCCAGCTGTGCTGGTTCTGTAGCGGTAAGCGGGGATCGAGCAGCGAGTGTCTCCACTGGTGCGGTGACCCAGCAGAGCTCCTCCAGCTGCACTCCCTCTCTACTCTCCGCTAGTTTTTGCGTCTTAAGAGCACACAGAAAAGGTTCTGAATTCGTGGAAAACTCCCCTGATGCACCCTGATATCTGACTTTGTTTGTTTTTATCTTTGTGGCTTTTTTTCTTTATTGTTTTTTTTTGGGGTGGGGGTTTCCTTGTTTGTTTTTTTTTTCCCCAGTGATGAACTCCAGGCTGCTCTCCTCTCCCAGCTCATGAGCTTCTGGCTTGCAGCTACAATCCCAGTTGTTAGTTGCTCAAGTATGTGACAGAGCATTTCATACTGTACTAATGGCATGTTTCTCTCCTTGCAGCGATGAAGATAATGAAGGTGCTACCGTGCCCTGCTGCTCTTCTCTTCCTGGTGGCTGCGTTCAGTCTGGAGCCATCTCACTGTGCCAAGGTGCTGATCATGCCCACCATAGTCTTTGACAGCCACTTGCGAGTCTTCATGCGAGTGGCAGAGGCACTGACTGACCAGGGCCATGACCCTGTGCTACTTCTTCATGAGGGTCGGGATCTGGAAACCTACCTGCCCAGCTTCCGCATGCAGAGGTACTGGGGTATCTTCAGCACAGAGAGCGCAGATGCCTGGGTGCAGGAGAAGATAAAGCGTGTCTTCCAGGGGAAGATGACCTCTCTGGAGATGTTTTCCTTTTTGGAGAAGTACCTGGAAAACTGTGACCTAGTGCTGGGAAACTCTACCCTTCTGCAGAAGCTCCAGCATGAGCACTTTGACCTGCTGTTGGTGGACCCTAATGAGATGTGCGGCTTTATCCTGGCCCACATTCTCCGTGTGAAATACGCTGTGATCTCCACTGGTTTCTGGTTCCCAGCGGAGATTGGTGCAACTTCCCCCATTGCCTATGTCCCTGAGTTCAACTCCCTGATGACAGACAGGATGGGCTTCTTTGGTAGAACTTGGAATCTCCTAGTCTACATGATCACTCGTGTAGCCACAAAGCTGGTCATCCTGCCCAAATTTGAACGTCTCATGGAGAAGCACAGAGTGGAGCCAAAGACATCTATGTTGGACCTTGTCCATGGAACCAGCCTCTTCTTCCTCTGTAATGATGTGGTGCTGGACTTTCCCCGGCCAACACTCCCCCATGTCATTTTCACAGGGGGGATCCTTGCTGAGCCTGCAAAGCCCCTCCCAGTGGTAAGTGCAGGAAAGCTTTGAGCTGGGGTTGCACATTAACTTGGGGAGTGACTCAGTGCAAATCTTCTTTTGAAGAGCCTTGTAAATGCTCTGACACCCCAGGAGTCTGGAGGGCTGCTGTGGTTTGGTGCCTGGTTGCAGCAGGGAGACAGGGAGCGCTGAGGGCTGTGAGGTTGCAGGGACAATGTAGAATTAAGTTGTCCACCCTGAAGCGGGATTCAGCTTCACTGTCCATGTAAAATAGTGTGTGGAAGTCCTAAATCGGCAGTGTTGCCCCTGGGACTTGATCATGAGTAGTTTGTTTGTTCCTATACTTGAAGCGGAAATGGGAAGAACAAGTAGACTTCATTGCTTCATCACTGATTTATGTCAATCCAGAATTTCCTCCTTAATCCTATTTCTTGCAGGGTGTTTCTGCCCTCGAGCTTGTAGTCTTAAGAACCTGTAGAGGAGAGCTGTGCTTTTGCCCTCATCAAATTCAACATGGAATCCCAATGTGTACAAAACTGAAGTGTATCATCCCCTTTTTCTCAAAGTTCAGCCCTGAGGGAAAACTCCCCAGGCATCCCAGAGGCTTTCTCTAGCCTGTACCTCACTTTCCCCAGTAATAAATTCAGAGGAACAAGCTCTTAAAGCCTCCGACTGAAGATAATATTGGAACAGTGCAGGACCTGTCTGCCGTTTCTTCCACTGCCTTACCACTTTTACAAACACTGAGGGGCAGTAGACCTGGGTAACAACACTCAGGCAGTCAGGTTGTCCTGGTGTCCCAACTAAGGGACTGAAATGGAGATAAGATTCAAGTTTCAAATTATTAGGGGCCTGTCAAGATCTCTGATGGCAACTTTCATAGAGACAATTTTTTGGGTGCCAATTTTTTCCAGTTAATAGAAAAAAGTGAGGTCGGGTGCTTTAGAACAGAAGTTCTCCAGATGCGTATGGATGCACATCACCCTTTCCCATGTGGCACTGCCTGCGGGTAATGCGATGCATGTCGGGTGCTCCAGAAGATGTGTCAGACAGTGGCTACCTCACAGGTCTTGCAAAACACTGGCTTGGTCCAATCTGGCCGCATACACACCTGCCTTATAAAGAAGGGAGTTGTTTGCTGGGGCATTACTCATGTGCTTCACAGCTTCCAGAACTGATCCCAGGGCGCCTAAGGGATGGAGATAAATCTGGAGCCCTGCAATAGGCGGTGGCTGCCATGCTAGCAGGCAGGCATGTGTGTACCCAGGTTATGGGATGCCAGCAGAAGAGAGGGCCTCTGTAGGTCTAGGTGTAGCTTAAGGAATCTCCCATCCAAACTGGAGCAGAGTTATATAATTAAGGTGTTTATTTCCTCATATTTGAAACACTGTGATTGCAAGTTCCTTTAAATAGGACACAGTAAAATATAGCTATGTACCTGAGAGATGGTGAGGACTTTGGGTGGTCAACCATGCTTCCCTAGCAACTTGAACGCTATTTCTGAAAGTTGAAGACTAAGGCCCAATTATAATGAATAACGTAATCATCTGTTTTCTGAGTCATTGTCCTTTTACCTAGGAAAGCAAAACTAGTACTTTCACTTCTTTAGCAGTTTTGGTGGTTGTATTGCTCAAAAGATGTGAAACTCAAGAGAATGGAAAAACCAAAATCTCTTAGTTGAAAACTTTTTTATTCTTGATTGATGGATTTTTTTAGAACTTTTTAAGCTCTTCTGCAAGGTTAGGTTTGAGTCCCTGAAGCACGCAACAAAGGACAAACTTCCACAGAAAGTAACACTAAAATGTGCTTTGTAACTCTTCTCTACCATGATCCCCCAAACTGTAGGCTACTACTAATAAGATACTTAATAAGATACTCTGAATTAACCATGCTTTCTTTCTCCTTTAATAACAGGAAGAACTTTTTTTTTTTCCCCGTCATGTTCTTCTACAGCGTTTATTTCAAGGAAGATTTTTAGGAAATTTCCCTAAAATGCTCCTAACTGTGATACATGAAAAACTTCAAGCAGGACAGAATCCATAATGAGAAATAGGCTCAGCCCAGCCTGGCATAAAAGGGAGTAGTCTGTGTTTGCTCCACAGCAGCTGTGGTGGCCGATTTCTTCTTCATGCAGCCTTCTGGCCCCAGTCAAAAAAAAGTATGGACCCCGTTCTAGATACACATCTGTTTATGTAGTGTTACAGGTAGCCTCCCTCTAAATGAAGGACAAACAGCTGTGCTTTTTGGTGGAGCTGTTGCTACCTCTCTGCCTCATGACCAAACACTAAATCTGCTACCTGCAAGTAGCTGTCAAGGATGGGTAGAAGTCTCCTGGCAAGATGGCAAAACCTTCAGCCACCTCCAGAAGCCTTCAACATTGGAGAGTTTGTGGGGCACCTCCAGCAAGATGTTGTTCCCCACTTGGCGCTCACAATCTGTTGAAACATCTCAGCAAGAGACCCTGACAGGCCCCCTGCCTTAATGGTGATGGAAAATAGCCTTCCTCTTTTCACTCCAATTTCCTTCGCTGCTCTGGCTGCTCCTATGTGGGCCCTATGTTTTCAGAGCCTTCCTTGCCGAAGAGTAATTGTGTTACCTCCAAAACAGGAGGTAATGCTATGAAACTCAAGTTTTGGACACCTCCCTGTAAGCTCCAAGCCCAGCAGGTGCTTAAGTAATTTCTGCCTGGCTGGCTACAGAAATCACAGAGGTTTTAGAGTTTGTTGCCTGGTCAAAACCACATAGCTTTGTGCTCCAGGTGGGTTTGGCTTCATCCTTTCCATAGATACTGGTAGAGGCAACAGTGGGAAGGGCCTTTCTCCAACAAGACTTCAAGGTAGCTGTGTGTGTTTTGCCTGCAGGGTCTGCGTCTCTGGGTGGAAGCTGCAGATGCGGGTGTTGTTGTCGTCTCCTTTGGCATTGGGATCCGAGCTCTTACTTTTTGAGCGACTTGGTGGAGAAGATGGCTGGTGCGTTTGCTCGCCTCCCGCAGAGGGTGGTGTGGAGGTGAGAAGGGAATGGGATTCCTCTTAACTTGAGTTAGGTGAAAATCAGTGTGGAGGGGTGATTCATCTCAAAACACAGAATTTGCTTTCCATCTCTTGATCTGACTGAATTTATAATTGTTCTCTGCGTGTTTCTTTTTCCCTTTTTCTTTTTTCCCCCCGTCCTTTATCTCCTCCCACAGATACTTTGGGCAGAAGCCAAGAAACCTGGGTGAGAATACTCTGATGATGGGGTGGCTGCCCCAGAACGACCTGCTAGGTAAGGCTGGGCTCTGTGTGTGTGCACACTGCTAGCAACATCCCTGGAGTTTAGCCCAAACCACAGCAAAGGCATACAAGGACAACAGCACCTGCGTGGGTCTAAGTCTGTTGCTTGTTGTGAGTTTGATCTGTGCAAAACATGGTCCTCACCCAACACCTGCTTGAAGCTGCATCTTGGTTCCTATCTCCCTCCTCTTCCAGGTGCTACTTGGCAAGTTTTGGGCTTCCAAAAGCCAGGTGTGTTCCCAAAGGGTAACATCCTTTCTGCTCAGCATGCCTGGGTTTCCCTAAACATACATCAATGCTGTTTGTGGAGGAAGCCACCAGTAGCCCTGTTTCAAGGTGGAAGGCACTGACCTGCTGCCATTCTTTTGCCTGCAGGCCATCCCAATGTGAAAGCCTTCGTCAGCCACTGTGGGATGAACGGTGTATTTGAGGCAATTTATCACGGTGTGCCAGTGGTGGGATTTCCTTTCTACGGAGATCAGTTTGACATCATGACCAGAGTGCAGGCAAAGGGCATGGGTATCCTCATGGACTGGAGCAGAGTAAAAGAAGAGGAACTTTACCAGGCTGTCGTCACAGTTATCTCTGACCCCAGGTGAGGCATCTGGAAGCACTGAGCTCTTCCTGGTGCAGTCTGTATGTCGGGACCAGTGTGTCTTTATGTTGACCTCTACCTACACGGCCTGTGGTGGCTTCTGGACCAAGCTGAGTTGCAAGCATTGCTCAGCAGACCAGATGTGTTAGTGCCTTAAAATCCTGAGATGAGGTCCAGGAAGAGACATCCAGCGTTTGCTGTTGGAGAGTGTCATCTAGTCCTGTTTGGCTCTGACTGTAATTTTCTTAGAAAGCTTTCTGAGATGCTGAGGCACAAACCTCTTCTCCTTTTAATGCCAGCCTGTCATCAGAGAAAGTGAGATCACAACCTCACCTTGGGATCTCCCTGATCTTGTCCAAACAGCTTTCTGTAGAAACAGTTAGCGCAGGCAGCGGACTGCAGGTAGTGCTCCGTCTGTTCCTTCTGACAACCAGATACCCTGCCCTTTCCTAGATCTGCTGCAGCACAGTGACGCAGGGCTGCCACTAACAGGACACATGCAACCGTGTTTGAAATGCTGCTTGAGAGCTTGATTATTTCTTTTTTTTTTTGTTACCTGTTAGGAGCTTTCAACTACTGACCTCAGTGTAGGTTGTTAAGGTGTTGCAGCTCGGTACCTTGAAGGATTTGGCCAGTCATCAAGTGTGCAGCTTGGTGCTGGGTGAGGTCTTCAGGTGCAAACTCCCCTCAGAATGCAACAATCCACGTGAACCCGCTGAGCAGGGCCTTGGGAGCTGAACTGCCAGTCTTGTTAACAATGCACAAAGTACGATGCGCTCTGGTCTGTGCGGCCATTACTAACAATTGCCATCAGAGTGGCAAAAGTTTGCCCTCTCCCAACGTATCATTTGGAACTTGAAAGCAGCACTGGACATTTCAGACTACTTCTCAGCTATGAAGCTCCTGTCAGAAGAATAACTTCTTTTCTTCTTCCCTTGCAGCTACAGAAAAGCAGCCAAGCTCATCTCAGCTCTGCACCTGGACAAACCGATGCATGCCCTCAATAGGACAGTGTACTGGCTGGAGTACATCCTTCGTCACGACGGGGCACCCTATCTTCGCCCTGCTGTCTACGACCTCTCCTTATATGAGTACTTCTGCCTGGACATCCTGGCTCTTCTCTTGCTGTGTCTGGCCGGTATTGGATTTGTCCTCTACAAATCTGTGGTGTGGTGCAGAAGAAAGGGGGCCAGCCCGGTATACCAGAACGGCAATTGCATGAAAGGCCACTTCACAGAAGAGAAGAAATTGCAGTAGTGGCTCAGCGTGTTCCAGGGCACGTCCCGTCACTGTGAAACGAACTGCTGCTGTGCCAAGAAATGTACGGCATGCAGGCACGGAGAGAGGTGAAAGATCAGCGGGTCTGGATGAGAAGAGCGGGGGGAGGGAGGAGTATTGCAAAGTCCTGCGTGCACACCTCTGTGTACAGCACCTGTGGGCGGGGGCGCGAATTCAGGCGTGGGGGGAAGCACGTGGCCAGGACGCTGGGAATGGGGCATGGGTAGGTAGACTTCCAGGGAGGAGTGCAAGTTGTTCCCTTTCTATTGCACATTGGTTTAGATGCTGGTGTTGCTCTTCTGGCTTTTTGGATCTCCATGGAGGCTCTGGAGGTGTAGGAATAGCATTTCATGTGTGGCAGACACCTTTTCTCCCCTGCCTTGTTACCGAGGGCCCTGGGGGTCAGGATTCCTTTATGTGCAGTTGAGGACCTGAAGTAGAGCTGTGGACAGGGAAGGGCACTGAAAGTATCATCTACAAGAGAATGAAATTGGTCTGTTTGAAGTTCTGTGGGTAAATACTGTTCTTCCTGCTTCCATCAACCCTCTGCAATCCTGTTTGTGTTTGAGCTAAATTATTATTTTTTTTTAAATAAAGTTATATTCTTTCCCCTGTGTGGCAGTTCTCTCAGGATGTTGTTCAAGCAAGATTAAAGTGCTTTATTCTTCTTGTCACTGCTGCTATGGTCTCCACGTACCTCTGGATCCCTACAAACCTCTGTCAGCAACTTGTTTTGGTCTTCCCACAGGGTTTCAGGCAGTGCCTTTCCTCCTCTGCCAACATGTGACACACCCCCCAAGCCCATGGGGCCTCCAAACCTGTGATAAAAGAAGAATTTGGAACAGATGCAAGTGCCAGGACCACAGGAAGAGCAGCCAGTAGCTTGGAGAGCTGGTCATAGGCAATGGACCATACAGCATGTTTGCAGAAGCAACAAGCTCTGCTCTTTCAGAAGAAAACAGACATGTCTGCTCATTTCAACGTGAACAGGCGTACTGTTACCCCACTCGGGGACATGGTATGAAGCAATACCCATGTGTTTCTACTCACCCTGGGTTCTAAGGCAAACCCATACTTGGGTGTAGTTGTACACCCCACCCACAGCATTCGCTGATGGTCCAACTGGCAATGCCCCATGTTGAGGGTCAAGGGCTCCACTCTGTGCTCTCAGCTGGGGCTGTCAGCACTGGCACCAGCTGGAGAGTAACCTCATTGCCACAGCTGCCCTCACTGGTGTTTCCAGGCTCTGCTCTTGCTTACTATTGCACATGTTTCTCTTTCCAGATGAAAGCTGCATTGCCACGCGCAACCTAGCGAACAGCAGTTTGGCTGGGCTCCTAGGTTGGGACAGTGCCCAGCCTGGTGGCTCCTCTGAGTTCCAGCAGTGCTGCCTTTTCTCCCCAACCCCAAATATATTGGCACAAGTTTTGCAGCGTGTCTGCTCATTGCCAGTTGCCCTATAGTGGCTTTGTTGTCATCTCCTAGCAGAGGAGCGTGGACAAGGGGGTGGAGGTGGGGCATTTTTGTCAGATCTTTGTCATCTCTGGAGTGGAAGAGGGATGTTGTTACTGCTGCCTATGTGAGAGTTTAGCTGTTTAGATTAAGCTGGATATAGCAAGTGAGTTGGGGAGCCTGTGGCTTGGTGACAGAGCTGGTTTGCTTTGAACTTAAAGAGAAGAAAAAGGAGCAAGAGGACAAATGCACCACGTTTGCAAACCGATGCTCCAGCTGAGTGGCTTGTCTCTATCCCCCGCAGCCTGGCTGTGTGGCAAAACATGCTGGAGGCAAGGGGATACTTTGGTTTGGCCATTCCCCCCCACCAGTCATCTCCAGCCTCGGAGGAGCTGTGGGAGAGGGTACCAGCATCAGCCTTGCCCAGCAAAATCCTCCTGGCCAGATACGGATCACCAGTGCTGGCACTGCAGAGGAAGCAGGGGCACCATGGTCTGATGGGGCCGGAGACCTGCGCGTTGTTTTGCTTGCAAGTAAAAGAGCAGAGAGAAATGTCTGAGACCCAAGGAGCCTGTGTGGGCTTACAAAAACATGAGTCTGTTTTCCAGCTTACTGGGGATGCTGCCCTTTGGCTATTCACAATTTCAGAAAGAAGTTCAAGACAGTATGACAAAGGAGCCTGTGTGGGCTTACAAAAACAGTACGACGTACAGCATTAGCATGTTGTCTCCTATCAGATACATCCTTAATTCCTCAAGCCTTTCATGACTACTTTCATCTCCAAAGCAGAGCAGAGTTAGGAGGCATGTCTAGCCAGGGAGTCAAAATATATACTGTGTATTAAAAAATGATTCAATGATTTGGTGAGGACTACTTTTAATGGAGTAAAGCACAAGTCTACCCAAGGATCCTGTGAGTAAGAAATGGATGTTCAAAAAGCGTCCCTGAAGTGAAAAGAGTCTTCCCCAGGAAAAGCTGCGTACGGGCTTCCAAACTGTCAGGAGCTATTCTTTGAGCTATGGTGGGTGGGTTCTGGAAGTATTTGGATATAGTCATTAACAATGAGGACTCTCTCTTTTAACAAGACAGCTTTCTCTCTTTACTTTTGTCCTTGTTATTCTTTCAGTATTGAATGCAGAAGAAAAGTAAAACAAAGTCTTAAGCTAGTTATTAAGCTCAATTACAAATAATGAGTAGCTTGTCACGCACATTGAAAGCCTTGGTGGGGGAAGGCATGTAGGTGAGCTTTATCCTTCAGGCAGCTCTGCCTTCAGCTTGGTACACCATCTCTGGGCAAGATGCCTCTCGGTTACCATGTGCCCTCCTCTGTCACAGGCACTGAAGCCAGCAGGTAGGGCTATGGTGTGACTTAGGAAATTAAAACAGTGGTTTATGAGGCAGCAAGCAGGGAACAAGCCTTTTTTTTTTTTTTTTTTCTTCTTCTTCTTCTTCTTCCCCTCAAGGAAAAGTAGGAGGTCATGAGTCAATGTGAGTCAATGCTTTTCAGAGGGCTGAAGAAGCCTCACCCAGGAGTTGCAACCCCAGTTGAGCCCTGTGCAGTGCAGAGCTGCCTTCTGCCCCTCCGTCTTGCTCTTGGCAGCGCACGGGGGGAGCCTGAGCGGGATGCCGAAAGTTTGGCAGCCTCGCTACTGCGTACCAAACTCCCTGTGAGGGCCCCGGGTGGCTCTGCGGGCAGGTAGACGTTTGGGGCACGCAGGAGCCAGCTTTTCAGGTTCTCCCAGCCCTGGCAGCTCCTCACAAACCTGCTTGATGTGTGAGGCATAGCAGCCCTGCCAGCGGGAGCCATCCCGGTGTGTGAGACACTCCGGGTTTGCAAATGAGTGTGTTTTCCAGGTAACGTGGCTCTGCGCAAACCCTGGGCTGGGGGCAGCACCTCTGCTGGGAGCAGCTCCTTGCTGGGGACAGGGAAGGGGTGAAGCCACACACTCGCACCGTCTTGTTGCGACCCCTCTTTTAGCCCAGCGTCAGTGGCCGTATCACTGCTGGAGCATTGAGGCACCACCTCAAATGCTGCTCTCCTGCAGCGCTTCCTAAACAGCAAATAAGCTACTGCTGCTTCATCCTCAGTGCTTCTATATGCAGGAGGGTCCTCGCATACCCAGTGGCAGCATGCCTCCAGGAGAGCCTGAGTCGTGGGCGGCAGCAGGGCCAGCTCCATGGCTGGTTTTTCCAGCCTGGTAAGGTGGTGGCACCAAACTGTGTCAACAAAATTTGGCTAATAAAGAGGATCCATCTCCCTCTGCAGGCAAGTGTGAAATCACTGCAGCTGTGAGAGGGAAGCCCTCAAGGAGGACAGGCTCCTCAATGACGATGATTTTTGACTCACCCCATCATTAAATGACAGTAAGCAAAAAGCACCTCCCTGCCAGGAAAACCTTTTTGGCTGATTCAGGGACCTGTGCATGGCTCTGCCCCAGCTACTCTCTGACAAGCAGCCTCTGCCCATGGACCTCTCCCTCGTAGTCCCTCTGCACCTCTTTGACGCTCTTGAGATCATAGGCAATGCCCTCCTCTGATGCTTGCATGTTGCAAATACTTCCCACAGGGGAAGGGAACGAGCCGAAGCTCTGTGGGTGTCCAGTCCCCAGCAGCAACCATTTGCCATTGAGACTGCTGTTGAAGCAAACAAATCTCCCTGTCCCCACACGGACCTCCCTGGGGCTGTGTCACAGCCAGTGGAGCTGCACAGCAGGGCTTGCTCCTCATACCTATAACCACCCCTGTTCCCAGGAGCAGGGAATTATCAGATTGGTGCAAATGTCCCAATCCTGATTTGTTTGAGAAGGGAGGTTTCCTTGGAGGGATGAACTGTATATCACAGTGGAGATTACCCGGCACATAAGCTATGTTGCAGGGGCCAGAGTGTTTCAGGCTTCTAGAGTTACAAGTCATCTCCAGGCAGTAGCCATTTGCTGCTGTGGTGTCAGCTCAAGGGGCAACACACGGGAAGGGATATTCCAAAATAAAGCACTGCTTTCCCCAGCATCAGTCTGCAGATTCCTATTCCTCGTTCCTGGCAGAGAGGTACCAGGTGTGTAAGGGACAATGTGACACAAACCACCAGTGGTACCCAACAGGAGTAATCCCACTGTCCCACTGGTGGCACGGTGGGGGCTCCTCTGCAGTTGGCTTCCAGCAAAAGCCTGCTTGGTCATGGTGTGTGGGGACCCTGCGGCAGCAGCTCCTCAGGGGGTCTGAGCCCTCTCCTGGCACTGGAAATTCCACCTGCAAACAGGGCAAAACTTTTGGACAGCGAGGCAATGAATTTTTGGCAGGCTTTAGTGGATGCACTGACACTTTTGGGCTCATAAATCAGATTTGGTGCGTTTCAGAGAGGAGACGTAGCATAAATTACAGGTCACAAGGTGCATCATCCTAGGGGTGAAGGGTGTATGTGAGTGGGCTACTCCTTGTTGGGGTGCAGGAAGGACCAGCTGCTCTGCCAGGCTCAGGGAGACCAGTGTGATGGCACCTCCTGCCAAACCGCAGGACAGGGGAAGCTCATG